TTATTTGATGATATCTTGATCTTAAATCAATTCTATAAAATATTGTGGCACCTGCTAACTGATCAAATAAGTCAACTATTTGAGATAATGGATATTTATTTTTTAGCGTCAGTTTATCTTGGGGTGTAATGGCATACAGTCTAGCTTTAACAGATTGATTAATTTTAACATCTGATGCTTCTCCTTTTAACTGAATGGGTGTTTTTTTTTTTTTTGCACTACTGGTCTTCCTTGAAACTGAGTTTTTCCTATGTAATTGTCTTCCAAATATCTTTTATGTTATGCATGCTCCTAATACCCCTAATATCCTTGTGGCCTGATATTGGTTCTTCTCTATTGAGGGTAATCCACATTGCGATCTCCCAACTCACCACATTTGAAACATTTTCCAGACCCCACCAAACACTGACTGAAATGTCGTTTCTCATATTACTCACATAAAGGTTTTTCAAGCTGACTCTGCTTCTGTTTATCATCAAACTTTGGCTTGTTACTTTAAAATCGATCATCTTTTTCAAATATCTTCCTTTTACCTAATTGTGTTTGCTCCAAACTGTGCTTAAAGAAATTCAGTTCATTTTCAATCCTCCTGGATCTCTCCACGAAACTGACAAGTCACTGATATCAAAAGGTGCCAATGCTAGTCATCATTGATCTCTGAGTCCTTTCAATAATATGTGGCACTTCTCCTCCTAGGAGATGACATAATGAGGTGCATAGAAGGACAAAGAAGTGAACTCATCTTTATATTACATAATCGTCTTGGAGCCCTGAATCAGATTGAAGAATTTTCTTGTAGAGCTAATCTGGTTGAAGGAGAAATGAATCAATCTCTGAAAACCTTTACAAAATCATCCCACTGTATGCTAAAAAACCTTTACAAAATCATCCCACTGTATGCTAGTGATAGGCATCTGTCCAAATTTTTCTCTATGTTGTGCTCGCCACCACCTTTTTGCCTCTCCTTCTAGAACAAATGTGGCTAAGGGTACTTTTTTATTTTCAGGACAAATCATACAATCTAGGATTTTCCCTATCTTTAACAACCAATCTTCAGCTACGATTGGATCACTTGCACCTTTGAATGCTGGTAGTTTAAAAGCCTAAAATAATTTTAAATATCGATCCACTTCACTGTCACTTTCAAATCAAGGTCCACTCCTTGTAGAAGATTTCTCCATAGATGTCATTTATCTACCACTTGTGAAATCAATTGCACAATATCTTAAAGTTCCTTAGACTTATTTCCCTCATGCATTCGTGTTTTTGTATCTAGTCTGGAAGACTGACTAGTCATTTTTTTTCGGTTACTCTTCAGACATAATTATCTGTATGCATATTGAAAATTCATATAATATATACTCGTGGTAATAACATGATCATTTTAAAGCATTAAATAGGCCTTGTATGCAAGTATGTTTATTATCTTAAATGAATGCATGCATGCATAATTCTATTTAACTTTAATTTAACCTATAGCACTGTACCCATCAAATTCATTATATCTCATCCTACTTTCTTGTCTAAATCCAAATATTCTTCCATTTGATTCTTATTTAGACTCTGATACCAATTTTTTTTCACACCCTATTTTAACCTCCTATAGTCAACCAAGAGTGTAACAGAGAAGTAGAATCTGAGCAGACCTTATTTACTCCCATTTTGAAACACTGAATTTGAAAAGTAAAAAGTAGTTTATTCAGACTATCCTAACACAACTTATCTTAATACATCAAGATTTTCATAATAGGAAGCATATATATAATATACCTCAAATAAAATACACGACTTAGATTTATAATAGAGCTTTACAAAAACCTTCAAAAATTACTTACATACCCAAAAGTTTTTGTATAACTTACACTTGATAATCTATACACACCCAAAAAGTATGTACACCACAAAAAAGATAGCCACCCCATCTTACTGTCTTACAGACTCCTTCCCTTTTCCTGCAATACAATCACTATAAATGAGCTAAGACTCAATGAAATACACAAACAATATATAATAAATAATAGTAACATTGTTAACAACGAATAAATACTTAAAATTACTAATATGGTTATAACACACATTGAAATGTCACACGGATCACTGATCATAAGAAGTGTATAGCAGTACTTTCCATTTTTCCATTGTTCAATAATTTTAAACAAATCATATGATGGCTATAAGCTTTTGCACACTATCAGCTTTCCAATTCAAGGTTGGGTCGAACTTCCCAACATTTAGAATTGAAGTTGGTCTCTCATTTAAGGTTTGGTCCAAATTCTAAATTTCTATAATTGAGAGTGTAGGCTTATCTCATCAGATCTTTCGTCTTTACTTGTGCGGACATATCCCCCATATATGACTTAGTTCACCTTCCTAATAACAATCTCTCTTTAGCCCTCATGACATATTTATATATATTCATGCAGCAATATAATGAGATAATTGAAATAAATATGATCATAAAAATAATAAATATGAAGTGTAATAATAGAACATCTACTAATTCCTATAACATCGTTTGGGTATCTAACCTCATTAGGAATTTGTTTGTCTAGTATTTTCTTCTTCATTTGTACACCACATAAAACATATATTTCTTCATTTACACATCCTAATAAATAAATAACAAACAATATGAAGATCTTACCAATTTACCTATATTATGTTCCTTCTAATTGAATTGTAACTTTTTCTAACTTTCAAAATTTCTATCTCTACCATCTTTACTTACCATTTTCCTATTCCATCTTTCTTTCCCTATTGAATTCAACAACAGCAGCTGGATTCTAACCTGATTTCAAAAACTATAAAGTTTAGGAATCCTTTTGAATTCCAAAATAGTGAATTCAGCTAATACATCAACATTCAAAACAACTTTAATTTCACCTACCAGCTATTGTTAACTCTTCTGTCTACTGATTTTCCACAACCAAATTTTGCACACACTATGGAACAAAATACCATTTCTCTTCAACAAAATACCATGTCAGAACATAAATCTGAGAAGATAACTACTGTTTCTTTCAGCTTTTGAAATCCTACACAATCTATATTTCATTAACTGAGCCAATTAGCACTTCAACCTATAGGTTACACACACAACAGCCCGCCTCCTTTAGTCCCTTGCTATCCCACAGCCAACAGACCCTTCCAGCTACTCCCCTTCAATTCGCTGCTTGCTTTAAAATTTCGAGCAACTGTCGTGAAATGGGAGAGGAATTGGGAATTAAGTGAAATGATATGCTGTATTTTAATGCCACCTAACTAAATAGAACTAGTGGAAATTCCACTAACATTGCCTAAGATAATCACAACCATTGATTACAGATTTCTGCAATCAAACCATTGCATGCCTATATAAGTAGATGGCTACAGTGAATTGAATAAAATAACGAAACAAAATTACTTATTAATTATCAGTAAATCAAAAAGACTTATTAGTTATCAGAAATCAACTAAGTAAGGTAGTTAAGATACTATTATATTAATATTATTCATTTTCTATTTAAATAATAATATGATATCTAAATATACTTCTATATGTCAAAGTGTTCAGAATTAAAAGTGAAATTTAATGAAAATAACTTAACATTAAATTATTGAGCAAGGGTTGACGCCTTGCTTCTTGATCCGAGCCAAAACCCATCAACCTCCATTCCTCACAGTCGTAGCTGTCAATCTGTTCTTTCAACCACCCGTTCCTTACCCAAATACCGATAAACCTATCTTCCTCCTCTACCAAGCCCAACCAACCGTCAACCCTTCGCTCGATCCAGTTCAATAGCAAAGCCGCACCTCACAAACTCTTCCCGATCGTCTGCTCTTCCCAATCCACACAGAAATCAGACCCGTGGCACGTATTGTTTTGCAAATAAATTGCACCATAGGTAAACGATTATGATTGGGACCTCTAACCGAGTGATTTTGCTGTTAAATGCCACCACTAAATTACGGTCATAGTCATAGCCCATATGTTCCCTAATCACTTTAAATTATTGATAAATGAATCAATAAGATATGACCGATATGGCACAAAGCCTTCTTTTAGCTAAGGTAGGCTCAAATCTATCCCCATAGACAAATATTCACCCCAATTCTATAAGGTACTCTTATATGAAGCAACCCATGACTGCAGACAATGATCCTTCGGTCAAGTTGGGTCGACTACCTCCTCTGACTAAGTAGACTAAGGGTCATAATGACCAAGGATGATGGACCGATGGGATCTTGATCGGGTTCATCATCATTTCCTCACCATCCACTTTAAGTGCACAGTTATAAATTTCAATTTCAAATATCAAATTTTGTTGATACTATATGTTGGATATTACGTAACTATTTGATGACTAGCCTTAATCGAAAGTTCTCTCTTGTTGTCGAGAGGGGCAATTAACTATAGGGGCTTGCGTCTTATAGGAAACATGAACTCAGATCATAAAGTTCTTGCAAAATGAAGGCAAAATCTTTGGGTAATGTCCTTCTGAAAATTTGCCTCGAAACCTACTCGTTAAAACTCTCCTCAATGACCCTATAAAAGATGGGTACTGCTCCAATCGATAAGCCGCAGCACTGTGGCGATTTGGTTTTGTAACTTTTCTGTGCACTGTGGTGTTGATTAACACTGGGGCGCTCCGTGATCTGGCACTAGGCCATTAATTAATTGTTAAATTTCCCGAGAACATACCTGTTACAGCACTAGGTTTTGGCGTTGGGATGTTGTACTCGGAAATGCCATCATATGAGTTTTTGTTGAAGAACATTTTGCATGCTATTAGTATGTCATTATTGCCTTCTTCACATGAAATCTAACAGGGATATCATAAGTTTCACCATATTTCCTAGACTCATTTGTATTCATCTCCGCTACCAGTAACTTTTTTGCTCAGGATATAGAAACTATGATCAAACGTTATCACTGTAACAGAAACACCATCATGTAAATAGATTTAATCCTATAGTTTGAAAATTGAAGAACTAGGCATCTTATGAATGTAAATGCTCACCTTGTGGGAAACACCTGCACGCACATAATACTTCTTAGCAATTTCAAGGCAGTTTGCATCTCTTTCACATGCAACCAAACTGCCAGAATCAGGTAGAGCCAACGCAATAGCTAAAGATGAGTAACCCTGGAAAAAACGGAATAATGTATTAATACAAATGAAGCATAGAGAATAACATTGATGAATGATGTTTTTCGAAATCTAATGTTAATCAAACTACTATTGGTTTATCAACAATGACAACTACTGCAATAAAAATTAGATAGATGACGAAGGTAAACAAATATTTTGAATATTGGGTAACAACTTATTCAAAAAAATAAGCAAAAAAAATGTGAAACTAAAATGAAAAAGCAGACATTTTGTTTTTGCATTATAGAAAGGAAAACAGACAAGAGAAAATTGTCAGAAATTTTCAAATGATAAAATCTTGTAACAATGTGTCAGAAATAGCAGATCAGAAATTTGAGTAAATCAATTTCTATTTTTTGGATATCAATCATGAATCATTTGTAAGCTTTTGAAAGGTTGTGTGTGGCTTCTTCCAAACAACAAGTTACTGGTTCGTTCAATTTAACTTGGGATCCAAATACAAATTTGACCGGATTATCATGAAAGTTATGCTTCTAACTTATTAATGTGCAAGCTTGACATCTAAATTGAAAAGGTTCTAAAGTTGCTACCAGCTACAGGGTCCAGGGTGGATGCTGTCAATCTTAAACTTGGTTGGAAAAATCAATAGTGATCTAACAGGTGACATACAAGGCTCAATGGTGTCAAAATAACCATTGCAACTAAGATGTCCTAACGCAAAACTCCAACAATAAAACCATTTATAGTTTAAGAAGGGTCATAAAACTCAACAACAACAAGGAGTCTTTGACTGACATAAATCTTCATAAAACTACCAACCTCACAGAATCTTTGACAGTAAAAAAGTTAAAGTTTATCAAGAAGATAGCAAAGAAATAAAAAGGAACTACTATTGTTACCCACGCTAAGTACTAACTGCATAAAGATAACTCCGTCTTTACTAGACAACATATTGAAGATCCAATAAATGTAATTCATCATCATATCAATGCTAATAACGGAAGGGGATTCGCACTCCATCAAAAAATTGATTGAAAACTGATTTGATTTTCCGGTTTGCTGCTGTTGGTAGCTTAGCGGGTGCTGTTTAGCTTTCGTTTGGTCCAACAATCTCTGGTTGGTTAATGATATTGGAATTACTGGTATTTAGCTTAAGTACACTACAGCAGTTCTGTATTCAAGCTTCAAATGGACTTCGAATTCAATCTGAGGTTAGTCTATTTCAAGGATGAATAATCCTCTGTTTTGAAGTACCTGAGGTTTACAATTGGATGTTCTGGGCCTTGTCTTTGACTCACATTAATCTTTATAAAACTACCAACCCTACAAGCTGAGGTTAGGCAGTGAGTTTTTGTATTCAACTAAATTATTGGGCTTCAAATGGGCACCATGACTGAGTTCTGACAGTTGCTAATTGGGAATGATTCAGTTCCTTCTTTGGATCAAGGTTCCATAAATAATGCTACAGGATCCCCACATCTCACTGCACCAGGCTTATCCTACTTAACTGAAAGCCACTACTTCTTTGAAATTTGCTAGGGTTGATTGAATTCATATGTTTGGGCTCATCCAGATTATTCGTCTTTAGATTGACTTCATGACGGAATTCCTGTTCTTGATAATTGGGAATGTTCCAGTTCCTTCTATGAAAGTTGCTACATGATTGTGGGCTCCGAAAATTCGGCCCCGGCATCCGCCCGCGGTATTTTCTTTATGGGGGGAGTTTTAACGAAATTATGTTCTCGGATAAATTTTGGAAGGCATATGGGTTTGTAGATGACACGTTTAGGAAAGTTGAGGTATTAGATTTGACTTATGTTAAGAAAGGTAGAGGTAGAAATGATATTTTTTTTATTAGATTTAAATGCGAATTTGACTTTTAACCGGACACAATGGCGAAAAAGGATTCATGTAGCCAACCCCACGTAGTGGGACAAAGGATTGATGTTGTTGTTGTTGTTATAGATGAGTTTGTAGATAAGACACTACCCAGAGATTTCACCCTCATTTAGCTAGGACTTTATGATCTAAGTTTTGGTTTCCTATAGGCGCAAGCCCCTATAGTTAATTGCCCCTCCCAACCATGAGAGAGAACTTTCGATTAAGGCTAGTCGTCAATCAGATACGTAGAGATACATGTTACCTGGCATATAGTAGCAGCATGGGCATAGGTATTGGAGAATTTTGAACAATTTATATTTAAAATTGAAAATTTCACCATCTTGCATTTAAAGTGAATGGTGGGGGAATGGATGATGGTCCCAATCAAAATAACATGGTTCCGCCATCCTGGGACATCGTGGATTCGTGGTCCCTGGTCTACTTTAGTCAGAGGAGGTAGTCAACCCAACCTGACAGAATGATCCTTGTCAGCAACCATGGGTTGCTTCGTCCAAGGGGACCTTATAGATCTGGGATGAATGTTTGTCTAAGGGGACAAATTTGAATACACCTTAGCTAACAGAGGGCTTTATGCCCTATCGATTATATCCTATTGATTCATATCTCAAGGATTTGATCTCACTAAGGAACGTATAGACTCTGGTCATAACCGGTATTTCGTGGTGCCATTTGGCGGCAAAACCACTTGGTTAAGAGGGCCCTGGGCCATAACCATTTATCCTACATGTGGCATTTGGCGGCAAAACCGCCGGTCAGAGGACATGTACCACGTCCTTACTGGCAAGAGATTGTTTGATAATAGATCCTAGTGATATTTTTGACTGGGCATTAGCTTTATATGAGCTGAAGTAAAATTTAATTTGTCCACCACGGCAAACTGTTGTGGAGGGAGGATAGATTTTGCTTTAATAAAGGATGGATAATTTCAATTTTAAATATCGAGATTTTGAAATGATTTTGAAAATTTAAATTTTGTAGATATTGGAGTGGCATTTTGAGTATTTGAAATTAACTCCTCCTGTTGAGATAAACATTCAACATGGCCATCATCGAGGTTTTTGGAGTCATTTTCATTTGTGGAATGAATATTGTCGACATTGTCGAGCTGCCGACAGAGAATCAGGTTCATCATAGGCTTTGTGCCTTTATTGGTAAATTTTCTTTGATGAAGGCCTTATGGGTCCAATATAAATGTATTAAAATAAATATCTCAGTTGACCTCACGACCACATTTATTTAAGGATTCGAGCCTTGTCGACTCCTGTCTACCCGCACAGGAGGATTGGGCTCGAACTTGGGCTTATTGACCCGCACAGCATCCATAGACGTCACATGTGTATCCATAAAATGCTCGCTAGGGCCCATGCGGGTATTTCATTGCATACCCCTTTTTGTGTACCTATGTGTATATATATTATAGTGCATGTGAGGGGGGTACTTTAAAATATTTGTAAATGCATTATGTTTGCTTGCATGAATGTAGCAGATATTCTGGCTTGGCATTAAAATTTAGTCATTTGCCCGTTGCATGAAAGAGAAGATGGTTGTTTATTGATTTTTGTACTTCAATAAACAACTTCAAGGAAACCTAGGATTTGCTAGTGCTCTTTTGGGCCCCTTAGAGGTCATTTGAGAACCACTATGTTAATTTTAAGAGCAATGAAAGAGAATATCATTTATTGACTTCATGTTTCAACAAATGAGATATAGAAAACCTAGAGTTTGATTCTATGTTGGAAGCTTCTGAGATAACATGTCAATTATTTTAAGAAAAATCCACTACACTATACACTAAGCGATTGATGATAGCTCCAAAGGGAGACTAAAGATTCATGCGATACAATAATTGGAGCCTTGAGGACGCTTCAACTATCTTGCATGATGGACATGGGCATAAGAAAGAGAGCTTCCTATTATCCTACAATTTTTTTGGATTTGTTGGAAATAGGGAAGATTTGATCTCCTAGAGTTTTGGAGAGCTTCCTAAATCATTTATAGTGATTAGGAGGTTAGGGAGTGGACAAACGCTTTGATTTGACTACAAACTAAGGGGTCTTACATGTCTAGTTTGCTTGTCATTTTATGTGGCCACATCAATAGGAAAGTTGCATAAATGAACTTCCATAATTTCAAAAAGAAACACAAGAATTAGATATGACACATGGACCTTTGAAGGTCCATCGTATACCCCAAAAATTAGTTTTACAAGCATTTGGAATTAAATGAGCACATTTATGAACTTTACAATTTCAAAATCTATGTTTAAATCATGGACTAGATTGTTTATGTACACTATGGGATTTGCAACGCATGCCTTTGAAACATACAAGAAATCTCATAATGCTTTGATGTCATATGTGTGACTTTCGATCAATCAAATAGATTATAATGTTTACCAAACCATAGAGGCTATCGCTCTCTAGTACACAAAATCTCCTAAATCCCATCAATTTTGTCAAGATGCTTTAATTTAGAAATTTCATAAATGTGCTCAAATACATTTTAGATGGCGTGACACATGGCTCATGAACCTTTAAAGGTTTAGAGAATACCATAAATCATAAATATCTAAAACTTACTGGACATATTTATAAAATTCATAAATTTGGAGAGTGGGATAGACTTGCAAAAGGCTCGTAATTTTCTCTAAGATAATTTTGACATAACCTAAATCATAAACAAGCGTGTGATCCATTTGTTCAAATGCATAACCATCAAATTTGAGTGTGATGATAACAAAACCTAGGTTTGTCGTAGGCGATGGTATGGACACAATATGAATGCTTTTACATGTATTTGGAGGTTGACGGACATAAGTCCGACAACCCTACGCGTATCGGCACGCCTCTTTGGCTCTCATAAGAGAGCAAACATATGAAAATCACTAAATTTTCATTGTTTTGTGAATAGGACAGCGAACATAGGAGTTGGGGAAGCAAAAAATTAAGTTCCTAAAAGACTTATGTCTTTGGAACATCAACCACACATCAATTGGCTAGGGGGGCCTTAGGGCTTTTCCTAAGATTTTAGGATTTTACCTCACCCAGGCTGTCCAAGCGCTCCAAATTGCTGTCCAAGTCGCTATCAAAGCTCCAATCCAAGCTCCAAGTGTTGTCCAAGTTGTTCTGTAT